TATATATATATATATATATATATATATATATATATTTATATATATATATATATATATATACACCCGTTTGCAAAAACGTTGGCCGCAGATAGATAGATAGATAGATACCCGAAATCTAATTAGAATTGCATATGTTGTGTAATATGATTGAAATCCCATGCAAATGTATTCATATGCAATTATAATTAGACTTCGAGTATCTATCTATCTATCTATCTGCGGCCAACGTTTTTGCAAATGGGTGTATATATTATTATATATATATATATATATATATATATATATATAATATATATATATATATATATACACCCGTTTGCAAAAACGTTGGCCGCAGATAGATATATAGATATATATATATATATATATATATATATATATATATATATATATATATATATGTATATATACACCCATTTGCAAAAACGTTGGCCGCAGATAGATAGATAGATAGATACCCGAAATCTAATTAGAATTGCATATGTTGTGTAATATGATTGAAATCCCATGCAAATGTATTCATATGCAATTATAATTAGACTTCGAGTATCTATCTATCTATCTATCTGCGGCCAACGTTTTTGCAAATGGGTGTATATATATATATATATATATATATATATATATATATATTATATATATAATATATCAGTAGGAGGCAAAAGTTTGAAGTCCAGTGACTGTATTTCTTTGTTTCAGCAGCATATATTAATATTCTACAGAAAACCTTACCGATAAAGTGAACTAGAAAAAAGTAAACAAGTAAACAGAAAAATACATGCTGTACAACAACTATGAGATGTTATGATATTCATTTTTACGTATTTTAATGTGCAAACATGCATTTACATGTCATTGCTTAGTTCCCTCTTTTTTGCTCTTGAAATGACCTTTATTCTTGCTCGCATAGATTCCATAGGTTTTTAATGTCACACGTTCAATACCTTGCCAGCATTCGTTGACCACTTGCCTCAAGTCAGCCTGGCTGGCGGGTCTGTGCCTCGCCCTCTTCCGGTTAAACGGTTCTACAAGTGCTCCATAGGTTTTAGATCTGGAATATGAGGTGGAAAGCACATGACAACGAGATCACCAGAATGAGTTTGCTTCTAAACGATTTCTGGCACATAGAAGATGTGCATGTGCTTAGGGTGATATCATGTAGTTAGACGTGCGATCATCTTTGTACCAGATGAAATTCCATGTCCTTGAAGAATTGGATGATACTTTTCTTAATTAGGATCCTATTATATCTTTCAATATTGCCAAACCGAGCATGACCAAAGCAGCTAAAAGTTTGCTTGAGTAGGATTAGTTTCTTCGAACCTCTCCAAGGTTAGTTGCATACCACCTTTTTAAATTCTCACTTCTTCTGCGATCTTACGAGGAAAGAATCCTTCAATACTTAATGGAACTAATTTGTCCTTGTGCACCACACTTTGCCTTTTTCCTACCCATCTTGGCAGTGTAAAGGAATGAGAACTTTATTTTGTTATAATATTTAGATCATTAGACCCAAAACAGTGTGCAATTAATATAGTTTTACAGTACTGAAACACTAGCACGCATGTCTTAACTCCAATACGCTGCCAGGATTTAATACTGGAATTCTACAACGACTGGACTCAAACTTTTGCCTCCTACTGTATATATATATATATATATATATATATATATATATATATAATATATATATATATATATATATATATATATATATATATATATATATTTTATATATATATTATATAATATATATATAATTATATATTTATATATATATAGAGTATAGGAAGAGTGAAACCAGTTGTATCGCAGTATATCTTATGTTGTTACCTTCTCGGCTAGTTTAAACTGATTTGATGTTCTTGTATATCTATCACTATAGTACAGACAACAGTCGAAGAGTCTAGAGCCAGTAGGTTAAAGCGGAAACGGAAGACCGTATAAATAAGAAATACAGTAAATATTTTTATTTAATGTACCAGTACAAAACGTAGTAAAATTACTATATTATGCATTATATTCCCCGAGCGGGCGCGGAGCGCCTGCGAGGGTACTAATTCCGCTCGGAGATTAGGAATTACACCCGGAACCCGGTAGAACATAGCCAAATCCAAAGTTGTCCAAATTCTTTGTCATGGACGGTCGACGTTGGGTGGTTTTGTAAGTTATGCGCATGCGCGAGGCATCTGGTAATCAACGAACGTTCTGATTGGCTAAGACAGAAAGTTTGTATTTCAATGAGAACGTCAGCAATTTATATTAACTGTCATTTCGTAAACATTTTTGTAAAAGCGTTTCATAAACTTTGTGTAAAGAAAGTAAAACCAGAAGAAACAAGATATATGAAGCATGACAGTTAGCAAAGATGAACGTGGATACGGTCAAGACAAAGCCGTGTAAGAGGAATAATTCATAATCTGCAAACTTATAAATGTTTTCAAAGACAAAGGGTACGTGTTTACTTTGTTTATTTCGTATTTGTTTCGCGATAAGAATGAGCCGTATTTGTATACTTTTCGGCTTTGTATGCCGTCTATTTGTTAAATTTTCAGCTTTTTTATGCAACGCATAAACCTGTGAAAGGCTATTACACCTAAAAAGTTGCTTTAACTTCAAAAAGTGTTTTTGAAAGTGTAATTTGAATTTTGGTATCAAAAATACACACTATATTTATAAAGTATAAAACTTTTAGCTGCCGGCGTCGACTGCAGTTACAGAATAAAATAACATTTGAAGTTTTTTCTTTGTCTGTGAAGATTTTGTACTGTTTTAATCGTTTGAAACTTCGATTTTAAACCGTTACTTAATTGCTGGCACGGTATAATGCAGCAAAATTGAACGGGCAATATTTTGCTTTAACTTCAAAAAGTGTTTTTGAAAGTGTAATTTGAATTTTGGTATCAAAAATACACACTATATTTATAAAGTATAAAACTTTTAGCCGCCGGCGTCGACTGCAATTACAGAATGAAATAACATTTGAAGTTTTTTCTTTGTCTGTGAAGATTTTGTACTGTTTTAATCGTTTGAAACTTCGATTTTAAACCGTTACTTAATTGCTGGCATGGTATAATGCAGCAAAATTAAACGGGCAATATTTGCACTAGCTTTATGATTATTTTTGTATTGAATGATGGAAACATTAGCTATAATATACTCGGTAAAATATAATAGGACTGATTTGAGTTTTATTGTGTCATTTCATAATATAAGTTTAGGTCAGGTTAACTCAGGAAATTGTGTACTTGGTTTGAAATAGCGAGGGGTTGCTGCATGCATGTATTTCTAGTATATTTTCAAGGGGAAGAAAGCAGTCATGCCAGATTGTCCTACACAGCGCTGGAAAAAGGAGAACTGAAGTTGGAATTATGTGGCCTTCCCGAAGGAATAAAGTTTAACGATCCTGCCGACATGGGTGAAGCAAAGCTGGGACAAAATGATCGAAGCCGCTAACGGTATGGAATTTGTCCAAAATTCAGGTTCAGAGGAAAGGACGGACGATGTTGGAAGTGTTCCTGGGTTAAATGAATGGGAATGAACAGTTTAAATAATGATGGTTGATTTATTAGTGAAAATAATGCGGATGCGTTAAGTGGTGAAGGTACTTCTAGTGAGTTGAGTTGAGAAAATAGCGTAGGCAAGTTGGTGAGGAAGACAGTTGGTTAGGTGAAAATAGTGCCATTGGATCAAGCAGTGGACGCAATGCTGGGGAGATTAGTGGTGATAATGTGTGAAGTGAACATAATGTTGATAGGCTACGTGGGGAATGAGTGCTGGACTAAGGGATACAGATCATGAAAAGACGAGGAAGAGCAAGAGGAAAGCTAAGGGGAATAAGACCAAACACCCACAAAAGAAAGCAAAGCGGTGTACGTACCAGAAGTGTTCGGAATTTTGTGCCACGAATCCCCAGTTGATGAGAAAACTGGGAGCTTAAACTGGGTTCAATGTGACAAGTGCGACAAGTGATACCATTGGGACTGTGTTGATCTTTCGAGAAGCCCAAACAAAAACTTCTACTGTGGGTGTGACAAGGCAATATTTTCTAGGAGATATGGGGTCTGTTATAATACAGAGAGAATTTGTAAAAACAGCATAAAAGCCACTACACTATTATTCTCAAAGACGAATTAAAACGTCACTTGCAATTTAGAAAAAGGTAGCGATGAAAAATGAAATGAAAAATAAAATACCTTTTACCTAACTTTTCAGCACGCCAACAAGAATGATCATGAACCTAAATGATGTTCGCCTACGTTATTCCCTCAAGGTATCAAACCCAATGGGGTCTTTCTTGTTCATCCGGCTAGGCGAGGTAAAAAGCGCATCACATCATCATCATATGCAGTTTTCACCTCGCCTAGCCGGGATAACTCGCTCCATGTAAACAGGCTCTTAGTCCGGCATATGTACTCTAAGCTCTAACACCATCGAACGCAAACAGTGATTACGTGTGAGCACAATTGATGCCGGGAAAACAATCCAAAACGCACGTAGAATGGGTAGATACACTTTTGCCAATGGTAACGACAATAATAGATAATAAACTCGTACATAATCTGTAAATATATTTTAACCCGAAATTGACGATATGCAAATCGTGAAACGTGAAACTGAAGTTCAACGTGGTTTGACTAAATAAAACAAAATACATAAACCTAAATTAATATAGTGTAACTCAAACCTTACAATAACTAAATACAAATAGAAAAGACGACTTACATTTTTTTCCTAATAACTCAGAACTTTACTTTAACTTGTAGACTTTGCTCTTCGCTTGTGAACCTTTAGTTATTTACTGCCGGAATACCTCAACTATACTGATAATAACATAAAATTTGCATAGCATGACTAAATTGGCTAAATTGACTAAATATGTTACATATCATTATATATATGTTACTACATATCATTATATATATGTTACATAAATATATGTTACATATCATATATATATATATGTTACATAAATATATGTTACATATCTTACATCATGCGATTTTGACATACGACACCACACTCAAGTCATCTCCGAGTGGGAGAAAATTTGCATAATTTGACGATCGTATATATCCTATCAATTTGAAATCGCGGAGTAAGACTATAGCTCCTGCATTTCAAACTTATATGATAGAACTAACGCTCTTTGCATGGTAAGCACTACCTTTGCTTCCATATTCCATGAATTCCTCGTTCCAATGACACATACCTGGCTGCCCTCCTAATCAGCTGTCAGTGAAGGAAATCGTTTATAATTGCAATGAGGAAGTCGCAGTACACGAAAAGATAAGAATGTTTCTATAACAGAACTGTTTAAATCACTTGAACTACTTATAATAAATCATAAGAAATCTGAATCAACCCAACATATTTGGACAGATTTGTGGGCAGAAATTCGGGAGAAAATGAATATTTCTAGTGTCCTACTGATCTTAGCGACGATTTCACGACCAAATATCGCAGGTATATATCTACAATTTTGTTAAATCAGTCAATTTAGTCACGGAATACGTAAAGAAACTATATTTTTTTCGCCTCATTTCTTACAGATAAACATCTTCATGACGGGAACAGGTATGAAGTTTTCGTTTACAATATCTCTTGCTTTTTGTTCAAGAAATCACGGAATTGTATATATTGTGCTGAACTATTTGATGAAGATTTACAGATTTAAGGCCTGTTTATATGATCCCGTCTATAGCCGGGACGGGATGTTGATAGCCGGGAAACTCGCCTAGGCGGGATGGCGTGTTTATATGGAGTTCATTTTGTAGTGCAGGTTCCTTCGACGGCATGTTTTATTGTAGAAAACGAATATGCCAATATATACACATGCTCCTAATGTATGTTAATCGCGAATCATCCCGGCTAAGCGGGATGGAGTATTTATATGGCAATTTCTTGTCCCGTCTAAGCGGAATCCCGGCAAGAAGTGCCGGGATCCCGCCTAGGCGGGATGGAAAAGTGGTCATATAAACACTAATTAGTGTTTGTATTACAAGCGGGATCTCGGAAACTGTCCCGTCCCGGCTGGGCGGGATCATATAAACAGGCCCTTAAAGGACATTGGCAATAATTTTTTTTATTCTTGCTATCAATTAAACATGTGTATGGAATACTTAATTTCCTATTTTTACTTGACCATCGCGTTTAGTTCCTTAGATATTTTTGAAAACTTTTGACAGTCGTCCGCCATCTTGAAAAAAGACTCGTTTGCTAATTTATGCGAAAATAAATTTGTGACGTCAAGTGCAGAGGAACAGATATTACAATAGTTTGCGCCTAAGCGCATTCTTAGACGACTTTGACCAGAAACAACATATAAACCCATTTTTTCTTGTAATTGGATAGAAAACTATAAGCACCATAACCCTTCTGTTCGTTTTGGTTATATATTCAAAATAAATGCGTCGATTTCGTCGCAGTAAAACTGTGAAAGTGTTCATTACGGCTGGTATTTATGGCAATGTTTGTTTACTTTACTATACACCGAATGCTTATTCATTTCGCTAGGGTATTTAAAGTCCAAAATTTAACCAACGTAAACAGGAACAATAGCACAACGAGCAATAAAAATGTCAACATTTTTAACTCGATCGACCAAGATCAGATGACAATGTTAGTTGATAGAGCTTGAGTTAGTTGGGTACAATTATTTTGTGGTTAAATGCGGAACAAAAAAGTTTATTATTTTCCTTTAAAGAGGATTTTTCTTTAAGGTTGCTTTAATGTTTATGTTGCATTCTAGGACGTGTATTCCCGCCGAAGATGAGCCAACACTCAACCCAAGTGGATGTTATCCTTTGATGAATTTCACCCGGCCTTTCTGTCAAAATCATGGAGTCATTTTGTCAGACTACATATACGAGACGCCTTATAAGCAAAGATGGTACAATGATTATCTCAATAGGGAGTACGATCGATATGTCAGGCTTGGTGTACCAAAAATGAGCAGATTCTTTAAAGTGGACAACGACATGGTGATAAAGTGCGTACATGCTTCAGTGCCACTCCTTTGTCATTATTATTTTCCGAGTTGCGAGGCGACCCGGGCGGTGTATAAGGAGCAGACGATTTGTCGAGAGACTTGTCTCAATATTATTCGTATATGTGGTGAAATTTGGGATTACTTTGCAAAAGCTTATACCCATAAACATCCTGATCAGCAGTCGAAGAAACGCGTCCTTTGCGAACTACAGCCTTACAGAAATGCTGGTGAGTCCCAGAATGCTGGTACAGTGATCTTGAAAATTCTACAGGTAAAACCAGGGGTGGCACCAGATGCAAAGTTCATGTGGTGCAACTACTTCAACTTCCTAAAACGCTTTATTAAATCTAAACACTTTTTACACTAAGAAAATTGTTCAACAAACCTACATCTTTACTCAACAAACTCTACTTAAACTCCTCTAACGATTTTTTTTTCTAGTTGCAATCCCATCTCCTCAAAGGACGCCAATTTTAGGTACGATTCGACTTCAAAACTTGCCAGTTTTTTTTAACAATTCGAGCTGCCTCGCTAATTATTTTTTTTGTATTTAAGTAAGAAAGAGATTAAACTATCATATCTTTTACACAGATTGTTTGTACTTAAACGGAAGCAGTTACCATGGGAACATATCAGTGACGGCCTCAGGTATTCCATGTCAGTCATGGACAGAACAATGTCCTCATCGTCATACCATGAACACCATGTATCCAGAATTAAACAACGCCAAAAATTACTGTCGCAATCCCAAGAACTCAGGACAGCGACCTTGGTGTTTTACTACAGATAGGAACAAGAGGTGGGAGTACTGTGATATCCCTAAATGTACCCCAGGTATGATAATCATAAACAATCTTGAATTATCTCAGAAATGAAGCGTCCTCTAGAACCATTTCCAGGAAAATAAACATTCAGGAAAGTATCCATCAAAGTCTCTATGCCTGAACAAACTTCAATGTTTTAATAGTTCATGGTAATTATGGCAACTGGTCATTGAGCAGTCCGTGTAATGTAACTTGTGGTGAAGGTTTTGAAACATGGACACGAAATTGCAACAATCCTGAGCCAAAGTTTGATGGAACAAACTGTAGTCATCTAGGAGAGGCTATTGAGTACAGACCATGTCAGACAACACCATGTCCTGGTAAGCTAGCTATCTCTTTTTTTTGAGGGGTCTGTCACAAGATGGTCAACAAGATAGAAGCAAGCAGTACGAACAAATCTCTATTAGACGTTTTATAAAGGATGTTACTTCAACTTATTTCGTAATCACAGGTGACACGCGAGAAAAGGTATTTTAGTATCATTCTTCTCATATTTCTAGTTGACGGTGGTTATAGCAACTGGAGTTTGGATGCTCCTTGCAATGTTTCGTGTGGTAATGGAACTGAAATATGGCGACGTACTTGTGATAATCCAGAACCAAAATACGGAGGCAGTAACTGCAGTGAACTGGGAAGTCAATGAAGTTAACGAAGTGCGCCAAAAAACCATGTCCAGGTGAGGATTAAAGTCATTAAACTAACTTCGATCATTTATAAACATAACCAAGGATAGTTTGTCGTCCTCCCTACAGAAATCGACGAAAGACTAAATTCTTTTTGTTGACGCAGAATAGCTAAATCAGTTCTAGATTGATCACCCTAAGATATCATTTGAGGATCACTAAATTGATATCATTTGAGGATCACAAAATTGACGCTACGAACATTTCACTTTTAGTTGATGGAAACTATGGTAACTGGACAAAATTGTCGCCATGTAGTGCCACGTGTGGTCAGGGCGTTGAAATCTGGATACGATCCTGTGATAACCCCCCGGGAAAATATGGTGGAAACTGCAGTAAGCAGGGAACGGATCATGAAATTCGACTGTGCGCAAAGAAAGCTTGCCAGGGTAAGAATGTACGTGGAGTGTATCCACGTATCTTGCAATATCAAACAGAGTTTGAATTAAACTGCGCCAATATTATTTGTCAGCATTTATTGATAATGCTTACTAATATTTACTTCCTAATAATTTTTAAGGTAATAATATTTTATACTTATCAATATATTTCAGTTGTTTCCCACACCAAGACGATTGGTTTCATCGTTGCTGCTACATTTGTGATTGTCGTCGTAATCCTAAGCTATCTTTTCATTCGTCGCAAACGACGTGGAAAAAGAGGTGAGATTAAGGTGACAATTTCGGTATAGTCTTCATATCAATATTTTAATGATAATTCCTGGCATGGTAATCATTCATGACATCGCCAAACCAAACTGCTTATCAATTTCTCAATTTTTGTATAACAATATCGTGTCTTCATTTCAATTCACTATTTAGGAATTCCGTTTTACGCTATTGTGAAATTTTCTTCTCAACAAATCCTTGGTCAACATCAGCCTCGCGAAAACGGCGAACTACTCCCCTGTATAAGTCTTGTTCCTTCTAATGAAAGGGCGAGTACGTCACAAGAGACTGGTACTGGTGTTTTTTATCAAAACTTGACAACTGATGGAGACCCGATTCCAGGCCACTCACGTGGTGTTGTAAACCACGAAGGAGATTACGTCAATACAGGGTTATCGCAAAGCTCATGGTATGATAGACTTCAGTTTTTACGACCATTAGCTATTGGTTGGCTACGAAATGCGTGGGGGAATGTTGACGAGGATGGTCACCATGTTTATGATGGTATGCAACGTGTCAGACAAATTTTTGTTCCGTACGACAAGTTGGGAAATACTGCGCAGGAAGACTCGGCCAAAAGAATGGAGACAAATTATTCAACTTATGATACACCTGAAAGACCTCCAGTGGTCATAGCTCAGTGTCAAGGGAAGACTTCTTCAACGACTGAAATTGCATGAAATATTGAAATAAAAACGTTGCTCCTAGTCTAAGAGGGGTTTATTTTGCTTCAGCAATAACTGGGAAAATTTGTTGTTAGAAAAGAAACCAATCACTTTATCTCTTTAGTTGTGCCTTTTCTAATTATTTTACTAGTTTGAAGCATTGTTTATATATCATATATCATATATCGATAATCAATAAAGTCACTTTTATTCTCCAACCAAAACAAAATAATTATGAAGCTTAACGATAACAATTTCGGAGCTATTTAAAACCTTTGCTAACATTATAATTGTGTTTAGTAAAGTATTCAATTTTAGTCAGTGCTGTTTGATGGCATGGTCGTTCATATTTTTATTGTATGAAATCGCATTTATTTTCTGAATTATTGTCATTGTCTTCGTAAAAAAATATATTTATAAGTTCTGTATTTCAAACTGAATAAAGTAACAAGTTACTGTCTTCGCTGAGCAGGAACTTTGACTCCATTTCGATGAGGAAATTTTGGCTCCAATTAAACATGCTCGGCTGCTTCCTTTAAATGCCATTTAAAGAAATCTTTTGTAATTTGCTTTGAGGAAGTTGTAGCCTTGAGAATGAGAATATTTTTAAAATAGAACTGTTTACATTTTTGAAATAATCATAATCTAACATGAAGTCATTTGAAAACCTCGGAACTAACACAATTGAGCAGATATGTCACAAATATTTGCACGCTCTCATTAGATTGCCTGTGAATTTCAGTGCGAAGAGAATAGTTAATTTCATGAATATTTCTGTCGTTCTACTGATTTTAGCGACGATTTCACGACCAATTATTGCAGGTAACATCCGTGGTAATTTATGAGGTCATTTAATATCGCGGATTACGCGAAGAGCTTTACCTAGTTTTTGTCTTATTTGTTATAGATGATCAACATCTTCAACATGGAAACAGGTAAAGTGAATAACCTGAGCAATGTCACTGCTAAGATCACAAGAACGCCACAACCAATGCTGATAGATTTGACACTTTAACTTCATACCAGTGATACCAGTAAACGAAGAGGTTAAACGGCAGACTTCATGACTTCCGCAAAACAGAGTAGAATCGAAAGCAGAATATACATACGTGCATGAGTTTTTTAGTACTGAAAGTCTCCAAGGCTGAATTTGAGCTGCCACAAACTACTTTCGTTTCGAGATGGTATCTTAGCATCTTCTCGGTTTGAGAAGCTGATAAGAGCTTCTAGGAAATCAATACACAATTACAGTTTCGGTACGGCCAGCCTTATTCTGTTCCATGACGCTTCGTTTTATGCATGATACAAATCTTTGATAAGAGAGTAGAGCATGTGGTTCATTTGATGTCAATGGAGTGACGCCGCCGGCAAACAGTTCATCATTCAGAATTAAATTTATTCTCTCTTTTCTTCAGTGAACTTGTTATACCCCTCTTATCATCGCATGAAACTTCGGAAAATCTGAAAGCTCATTCTGGGGAACCATTAAGGGGGAGGTTATCCCTATCCTTCGCCGCGCCACTTCTTATGAAATCCATCTTCAAGACAGACCAAATAAAACATCTTTCTCGCAATCTCTAATCTTGGGTGACGCATCACTGAAGGTGACACGAAAGATTTTAGACATTATTCTACTACAAAACAGTTGGTTGGATACACTTGAATCCGGCTATGTGGCAACGGGGCATTAGATGTTTTGTTGAAATGGCGAGGGGTTGCTGCATGCATATATTTGTAGTTCTAATTTACTTTGAGGACATTGTACACTTGAGGATCAGTTTGGTTCTGAAAAAAAACTGTTCACATCATTTGAAATATCCATAATACTGGTGATCATTGAGAAACCTTTAAACGAACGCATGTGGGCAGTTAACAAAGTGCACAAGTTTGTGTACAGCATTTCCAAAAAAATTCTTCAGTTTTATCAGCATTGCTGGTTGTTCTACTGATTTTGGCGACGATTTCACTACCAAATATATTGCACGTGACATCTATGATAAAGTCAAATAATCGCCCGGAATACGCCAAGAGACTTGTCATGTCTTTGGATTCATTTCTTACAGAAAACTATCTCCATAAGAGGAACGGGTAAGATGTCGTCTTTTGCAATCTTACATATCTCTCCCTTCATTTTAGATCGTGTACTCCTGCCGAAGCTGAGCCATCATTACTCAAATCAAGTGGATGTTATCCTTTGGTAAATTTCTCCCGCCCATTTTGTCAAAATCATGACATCACTTTGTCAGACTTCATATACAGATCGCCTGATCGACAAAGGTGGTTCAATAATGATGCCAATAAAGGGTACGATCAAATGGTTAGGTTAGGTGTGGAAAAAATAAGGAGCCTTCTTCATGTGGAGAATGACACCGCGACGAAGTGTATGCATGCCTATACGGAATTCATTTGTCATCATTATTTTCCTAGTTGTGAGGGAACCAGGAGCGAATATAAAAATCAAGCAATTTGTCGTAAAACTTGTCTTAATCTTATGCGTAATGTAGAAAAAAAGTATGGGATTTTATAACAAAGGTTTATGTTCTTCGACATCCATTTCCCGGGTCAAAGAGGCGCGTCCTTTGCGAACTACAGCCTTACAGAAATGCTGGTGAGTCCCCAGAATGCTGGTACAGTGATCTTGAAAATTCTACAGGTAATACGAGGGGTGGAACCAGATGCAAAGTTCGGGTGTTGCAACCACTTCAACTTTCTAAAATATTTTCTAAAATATTAAATTTACTCTTAGAAAATCATTCGACAAACCTAGTACATCTTTACTCGACAAAACTCTACTCAAAATCCACTAAGGATCTTTTTTTTCTAGCTGCAATTTCATCTCCTGAATGGACAACAATTTTAGGTACGATTCAACTTTAAATTTTGCCAAAGAAAAAACTGTTGAAAAACTGTTCCGCATCGAGCTGCCTCGGTAATATTTTTTTTGTATTTAAGCAGGAAAGAGATTAAACTATCATATCTTTCACACGGATTGTTTGTACTTAAACGGAAGCAGTTACCATGGGAACATATCAATGACAGCCTCAGGTATTCCATGTCAGTCATGGACAGAACAATGTCCTCATCGTCATACCATGAACACCATGTATCCAGAATTAAACAACGCGAAGAATTACTGTCGCAATCCCAAAAACTCGGGACAGCGACCTTGGTGTTTTACTACAGATAGGAACAAGAGATGGGAGTACTGTGATATCCCTAAATGTACACCAGGTATGATAATCATAAACAATCTTGAATTATCTTTGAACTGGAGCGTCATCTGGAACCATTTCCAGGAAAATAAACATGCAGGAAAGTATTCATCAAAGTCTCAATTCTTGAACAAACTTCAATGTTTTACTAGTTCATGGTAATTATGGCAACTGGTCATTGAGCAGTCCGTGTAATGTAACTTGTGGTGAAGGTTTTGAAACATGGACACGAAATTGCAACAATCCTGAGCCAAAGTTTGATGGAACAAACTGTAGTCATCTAGGAGAGGCTATTGAGCACAGACCATGTCAGACAACACCATGTCCTGGTAAGCTAGCTATCTCTTTCTTGAGGGGTCTGTCACAAGATGGTCAACAAGATAGAAGCCAGCAGTACGAACAAATCTCTATTAGACGTTTTATAAACGATTTTACTTCAAACTTACATATTTCGCAAATGAATTACAGGTACACGTGAGAGAAGATATTTCAGTATCATTCTTCTCATATTTCTAGTTGATGGTGGTTATAGCAACTGGAGTTTGAATTCTCCTTGCAATGTTTCGTGTGGTAATGGAACTGAAATATGGCGACGTACTTGCAATAATCCAGAACCAAAATACGGAGGCAGTAACTGCAGTGAACTGGGGAAGTCAATGAGGTTAACGAAGTGCGCCAAAAAACCATGTCCAGGTGAGGATTAAAGTCATTAAATTAACTTTGATCGTTCATAAACATAACCAAGGATAGTTTGTCTTTCTCCAAACTGTTCTTCCGACGGGTTTTCTTTAAAAAGATTATTTTTTATCATCCGATATCAATACAGAAATCAACTAAAAACTAAATTTTTTTTGTTGACGCAGAATAGCTAAATCCGTTCTAGATTGATCAACATAAGAATGCACGATCTGTTGATATCATTTGAGGATCACAAAATTGACACAAAGAACATTTATACTTTTAGTTGATGGTAACTATGGCAACTGGACAAAATTGTCGCCATGAAGTGCTACGTGTGGTCAGGGTGTTGAAATCTGGATTCGATCCTGTGATAACCCCCCGGGAAAATATGGTGGAAACTGCAGTAAGCAGGGAACGGATCATGAAAATCGACTGTGCGCAAAGAAAGCTTGCCAGGGTAAGAACGTACGTGGAGTGCTGAGTATCTTGCAATATCAAATAGAGTTTGAATTGAACTGCGCCAATATTATTTGTCAGCATTTATTGATAATACTTACTAATATTTACTTCCTAATAATATTTAAGGTAATAATATTTTGTACTTATCAATATATTTCAGTTGTTTCCCACACCAAGACGATTAGTTTCATCGTTGCTGCCACATTTGTGATTGTCGTCGTAATCCTAAGCTATCTTTACATTCGTCGCAAACGACGTGGAAAAAGAGGTGAGATTAAGGTGACAATTTCCGTATAGTCTTCATATCAATATTTTAATGATAATTCCTGGCATGGTAATCATTCATGATCGCCAAACCAAACCGCTTATCAATTTCTCAATTTTTGTATAACAATATCGTGTCTTTATTTCAATTCACTATTTAGGAATTCCGTTTTACGCTATTGTGAAATTTTCTTCTCAACAAATCCTTGGTCAACATCAGCCTCGCGAAAACGGCGAACTACTTCCCTGTATAAGTCTTGTTCCTTCTAATGAAAGGGCGAGTACGTCACAAGAGACTGGTACTGGTGTTGTTTATCAAAACTTGACAACAGATGGAGACCCGATTCCAGGCCACATACGTGGTGTTATAAACCACGAAGGAGATTACGTCAATACAGGGTTATCGCAAAGCTCATGGTATGATAGACTTCAGTTTTTCCGACCATTAGCTATTGGTTGGCTAAGAAATGCGTGGGGGAATGTTGATGAGGATGGTCACCATGTTTATGATGGTATGCAACGTGTCAGACAAATTTTTGTTCCGTACGACAAGTTGGAGAATACTGCGCAGGAAGACTCGGCCAAAAGAATGGAGACAAATGATTCAACTTATGATACACCTGAAAGACCTCCAGTGGTTATAGCTCAGTGTCAAGGGAAGACTTCTTCAACGACTGAAATTGCATGAAATATTGAAAACGTTGCTCCTAGTCTAAAGGGGGTTTATTTTGCTTCTGGGAAAATTTGTTGTTAGAAAAGAAACCAATAGATTTTTTTTTGAATATCATATATCGATAATCAATAAAGTCACTTTTATTCTCCAACCGAAACGAATAATTATGAAGCTTAACGATAACAATTTCGGAGCTATTTAAAACCTTTGCTAACATTTTAATTGTGTTTAATGAAGTATTCAATTTTAGTCAGTGCTGTTTGATGGCATGGTCGTTCATATTTTTATTGTATGAAGAATGGAAACAAGTGATTCAACTTATGATACACCTGGAAAACTTCGAGTGGTTATAGCTGAGTGTCTTGGGGAGACTGCTATACAACAGAAATTGCCAGAAATGTTGAAACGAGAGTCGTTGCATCCTGGCATCCAAGTAGAGAGTAGGGGATACGCTTGTTTTGAAAACATTTTGTCATTTACTCTATCTCTCTGTTGCTATGGAAACAGTGCTCCCACTATTTTTCCACAATGCTTGTAATTATCAGTGCTACTTTAACTTTCCTATACTATGGCGTCCTACATCTACATTCTAATCTCCTTGGTTTTCGACGTCGCACAAAACTCTTTTTCCGCCACGGCTTCTGTTTCTTCTTGCTTTTTTTTGCATAACGCGCGCTTAATTGTACCACTCTCCATTCCGGCATCACACATGGATCAGCGCGCTATGAGCGCGTTTCCACGCCCGTGTTTTATATAGCGCCGTGATCCAGCGTTGGTGATGCCCCTTAATCCCTGATCTGCTTAAACAACTTCTCTCCATTTCCCGGTTTGTGTTACATTCTGTTTGTCATGTCCACGAAACCAGCTGGACAGTATTTTGTACTGTGCGAAAAGGATCTCTCAGCCTGATGGTAATTGTGCAGAATTACTACAGCTTGTGTGATTCTACTAACCATTTCAACGCTGCTACAATTCCAAAAGCATTTTCAATTACCTCCTCGCCCTTGACAAGCGATAGTTGAATACTCGCTCGGATATTTGAAGAACTTCTCTAGGATAAGGAAAGATATTCGAAGAACTTCTCTAGGATTATATTTTGCTGTAGCTGAAAAGCCTCGTCTGCCACAAAGACATATGGATAGCATCTCTGAGAATATGGAAGTGCTTCTGGTCGTTGGACACCTAAGCTGTTTTTCTTAATTGAATCACCCATTGTACTGTAAGAAATTACACCACCATCACTATTTCGTCGTGAGTCACCAATATCGACCAATGTAAATTGGTAGTTCGCATTTCAAATGGCCATTAGGACAATGGAAATAATTTTTTTACAATTAGAAAACATCGAACCAGAATTTGCTGGTGCCTGCATAACAACGTGTTTACCAGGAGTAATGCGAAAATATTTGAAAAAGAATTCGTCGTCAAACAAACGCAAATCTTGAACTAATAAATGTTAGATTTCCCTTTTGGCTTTAGTCTTGCGTTGTTCAAAATAATAGTATTCGTACCCATATTGATTTTTTGTATTTACTCTTTCTAAAAAAAGCAAAAGTGTTTTTTACTGACAACTCCCATATTAAAAAAATCATTTATCTGTTTCTGTACGGTTCGTCAAAATCGACAAGTTGAAAATGCAATGCGTAAATGCGCACGGTAAGATACGCTACGTTTTGCCACGTTACGCTACGATACGGAGATTATAGACGTAAGTTATATCGGGTTTAGCACTTTATATTTGATTAGGTTTTTGCCGCATTTGTTTGGAATTAATGCTAAAACAAAATTAGACACACTCATATGAGATTAGAGAATGCTGGTATAATTGTTGACAGTATTTATGTTGTAGTATGTGAAGCTTGCTTATTAATTGTCACGCAATGCTTGTTCACATTAGCCCTCATAATTAAGTTTGAATAACCAATGGGTTTACCTTTGCCATTGTTTCGCCTGGAAGGGGTCTTTGCTAAGATGTACTAATTATATCTTTTATGTTAATTGTAGTGAAGTTATGTGGAGAACATGATTTGAATTCGAATCCAAAAAAACCACCATATTTATGCTAGCTGCATGTAAACTTGAGGCATTCAAGATACCTAATTGTATCAGGAGTGACATTTTGTTACAATGTACATGGTATATAATTATTTATTTTTTCTGAAAAAAGAGATGGGAGATTAGCTTTACCCAGTCGCCACGTGATTTTTAATGACAGTCACATTCAGTAACCCTAATATCAACAAACCCTAACAATCAGTTGACACGGATATACTTACTTCAAGAAAATTTTGAAATTCTAGAGTGCAGCAAATGCGATTTCCCGCATTTTGGGGGGTAAATCAATTGTGGTTTTTGGCACTTCACTCGATGCACGTAAATTCCAGGGTATATATAAAGGGTCTTAAAATCGAGTGGAATTATACACACTTTAAATTCAAGCAGGAACAGTTGAAGGAAAAATAGCCAGCGTAGTAAAAAAACATGGTCATGCTCTCGTATGCGTAAACAGGGGGTTCAGATATCTGGAGAACAAACTAATGTTTCATTTTCTCATTTACTGAACCGAACGACAGTATTGTATAATGTACATCAATATTTGAACATAAAAATATATTTGAGCAAAAAATGAAGGCTTTTTAAATTTCGCCCAATATCAAGGCTCATCAGCATGTTTAGGAAACACCAATACCGGTAGCGCAGGTATGTGTGATTCCAAAATGGACAGCCTTCTCGTTTTCGGGTGCCAAACCCTCGCCTTCACACCTCACCACAAAAAGAGTTTGGTTAGAAATGGGTGACCATTTTGGATATTACATAGAGATGAGATTGCTCAATTACTCACCACATCCAAGTATTCTTCTAACCCTTTAACCCCCACCCAGCATCTTTCATTACCTGACCTAAGGGAGAGGGCTTGATCACACTTGATCATGGGGTGCATTGTGGTTTAATGGTTAACTAGAAATTAATGATAGGACTTTGCAATATAACCCGTACTAGACTGTGTAAGTGTAATACTACTTCCTGGAAAAATCATTATTCAACACACGAGCATAGTGCACTAGATAGGTTCACGTAATGAAAAAAGGGAAGAACTCATTTATATTTGAAATTAAGCCTTCTTGGTTTCTCAACGAACTTCTCGAGTATGGCCCCATGCAATTCCTTTTTATCTTATTTATTTTTTTTCAAAATATCTTCTATAGGTAGATATTTGGCACAAAGATCCAAGACGGTCATCCCCCATGGTATTTCTCAAATAGGTTTTCACTCGTTTCAAACAAGAAAAAGGTCTCTCAGTAGAGGCACTCGAGACAGCCATAACACCATTCAGCTTGAGTAACTGCACAACGTCTGGGATACAATGCTGAACATTTATCTGATAAATTCCAAAAGCTCTGTGGCGTTTTCTCTTAGGAAGTCTTGATTTTGATAAAAGTTGACTCTTGAGTTTTGGAATATCAAAGAGAGGGCCATATTTACTTACTATAGTTGTTGTATTTTATCATTGGGGACACTTTCGTGCCACTGAACAAACAGTTTTGGTTGACTAAATCAAAAAAGGAAACCCTCTCACTCTTAGCATCTCTAAACTTTCCATTGAGCATACCAATAGAAAACAGTACAATCAATAACCTCACAGTAAAGTCTTCTAAAATTTACTTCCCTCTCTGTTCATCTGTTTGGAGAACAAACCCTTCTTTCAGCAGCAGAGTAAAAAGCTTCAAATGCAGCATCATTGCGAAAGAGGATTACCCTAACCCATATAATTATTATTATTGTTAGAGTAATATTTACACAGAAAGCTCCCATCACATACGTGGTTTTCAGGGAGGTCCTGACATCCTGTAGAATTAATTACAATAATACATTACGTATATTACAATGAGAATTACAGTATATATACGTTTAAAAACAGAGAGACTATCAATTTCTTATATAATTATTCCAATACTTAAAAATATGACATATAATTATCTCTTTGCTGTCCCCAATCACGCTTTGTCAGCGGCATGCAGGCGGACATCGTTAGATCTTCCAGTATCATAGTTATGAATAGAGAGGTTAAGTCAAGATACCCCGGTTCCGGTGTACGGGTACGGGTAGCGCCATTTTGTTTTCCATTTTTCGCTGATGTCAGCATATTTACCCGTAAATCTACCCATTTTCCCGTTGTAAACGACGGTCTACACGTAAACAACGAACGGGTAACTACAAAGACAAAGTGGTCAAAGTGATGAAAGACAAATGGAGAAGCGGGTGAGTGTCTTTAACACGTTTAAAATACATTTTACGTATTAATATAGTGTTCATATTGTTGTATAATTATATAGTCTATATACAAGCTACAGTACAGGCTTCTCAAAAATGGTTTGCAAACATAATTTATGAACGCCATCTTGATATTTTTTATTTTCAAAACAAACACACGAAATACCATAGTTATATAAAAGTTAAGTAGGTCTTACAATGGAGATGTGTAATACATATTTACTTTTATAGTCAGTTCTTACCCGGTGTTGTTCTTGCCCGGAATTTAAGAAAATTCTTAAGTTGCAAACCGTACCCGTCTTACCGGTAACGGGTACGTGTAATTCACCCGTACCCGTACACCGGAACCGGGGTATCTTAACCTCTCTGATATCACGATTAAACCTAACGTCTAAATCAATTTCAATATGTCCATGAAAGTACTCGAATGCCATTATAAGCCTGTGGGATAAACGGTGTTTATCTAGAGTTTTCCAGTCCAATTCTCTAAAGCCTCAGTAGCAGATGAATACATAGGTACATCAAGCAGCCTTGTACTGTAAAACTTGCAGCTGATTCATCAAACAAACATTATTCTAATCTCCCTATATGAGTATACAAAATCAACATAATTAAACAAAGGACTGATAAGGCTATTATACAAAATATTAGTCTAGCATGTAATGGTATCAATTTCCTAATACGTCTAATAATCCCAATTCTTTGAGTGACTTTAGCACACACGTTGTCCACGTG